TCTTTCCCAACTCAATGCCTTGACCAGCGTTCTCCCCTCTGTACAAAATGGCCTCCCTGTCTCTGCCTCCCTTCCCAACCAACTCCTACTCTTCCTTTAAAATTCAGTTCAGATGCCTTCTCCTCGAAGTACCCCTAACCCACAGACACATCCTAATCTGGGTAGGTCCCCTGCACTTCCACAGCCCCCTGGAACTCCCTCAATCACTGCACTGTCTTCTTCCCCACTAGGCTTGCAAGCAGAGCTGGGTTTTCTTCTCTGTTTCTGTGCCTAGCACAGTTATTGAGACACAACAGATTGCTACACCAGTGACAAGAAAACAGCGTGGCATCATCAGCCATCACCTTGGATCCCAAAGGCAACCACCCAGATAGCTACCTAACTGGCTCTAGCCATAGCCTTGCCTCCCACAGACTCCTTTAGCTCAATTCTCTGTTGCCTTTCAAAAGCTCAGACCCGCGTTGTCCAGAATGGTATCCACTAGCCACCTATGGCTACTGGGCACTTGAAATGTGGTTGGTCTGACTTAAGATGTCCTGGAAGCACATCTGGACTTCAGATTTTTTAAAATGTTAAATACTTCATTTTTACGTTTGTTTCATTGATTAGATGCTGATATGATAACATTTGGCATACGTGTATTATTAAGTTAATTTCATTGCTTGTTTTCACTTCCTTTAATATGGTTACCAGGAAATTTTAAATTACATACATAACTCACATGTTTATACTGGACAGTGCTGGGTTAGACACTCTAGAAAAACTTCTAATTGACTAAAGGACCCTCGTCCCACTTTCTATAGCCATCTCAGCTCTCGCATAAACTTTTTAGCTGAAGCTGAAAGTTCAGGACAGGACAGGCCAGTCACAGAAGCGAATGAAGAAAAATCTGACTTGAGGTGTATCAGACGTACCTCTTTTTCCTTTGACTTTAACGCCATGGTTAGACCCTGAATGGCCTTATCCCTCTTTAAACTGTTTTTCTTTTCTGTGGCAATTTCTCTTTCCTTCTCTCTCAGGTCCTCCTGAAGTGCCTAAATTAGATTAGAAAAAGATTCACTAAGTTGATGTGTTCCAACCAAAATGCACTGTAAATATATCTTTAAGAGCACACTCAAATGCAGCTATTCTATCTTATTCCTGTCAACCTGTGATTAATGTTTCCAAGTAGAGCTGAACGCAGCGGCATCGGCTCCGAGTTACAGTGCTACTGCTCACGGCAACGGGGCTGGGTGAAAGGAAGGAGATCAGAGCAGTTAAGACGATGACAGCTATTCCCATGGGAAGGGCTCCAGTGCCTTCTGGAATCTGAATACAGTCACATCAGAGCCTTTGAAACCGTACCAGGTTATTTGGGGGAAATAACAGATCATTAATTTCATTCCTTAATGTTACAAAAGCGAGCAGAGAATTTGGTTTGATGGAGACTGAACATATACATTTATAGTCTGAGTTCATTTCTAAAGATAATCGCCGCTGCCTGCCTCCCAGGCTGTCGTGAGGATGAGAGATAATGGACATGAAAGTGCTTTCTGAGCTGGCAGGCGCTATACAAACGCCGGCAGCTGCGACTAAGGGACCGTGGAGCACCGGCTTTGGGATCGGACTGGCAAGTCTGAATCCTTGCGATACTTTTTCTGAGCTACGTGTCATTGGGTAAGGGACCTCACCTCTCTGGGCCTCACGTGACACATCTGCAAAATGGGAATGCCTATTTCACAGTTATTGTAAAGATCGAGAAACCCCCACTCCACTGCCTAAAGTCTCACTGGCAGACAGTAGCAGTCAATGAATGACAGCATTGTCACAAAGAATTATCTTCTGCACTCGGAATAAAGCAAGAGGCAAGGATAAGTCTTCAATAAATTTTTAAAAATTGTATCAACATACCTGGATCCTCTCTTCAAAGCGATCTCTCTCCTTCTGGTGTTCCATTTGTGCAGCCTAAGAAAAGGCATTAATTGGTGCCCAGAAGGTACCCACAATCCAACAGCTTCCCCAGAACAATCAGAATGAGCACCTCATTTACTTACTATTCCCCACTGCTGTGGAACACATGAAAACAAGTGTCCACCCCTCTCTGCCTCACCCAAAGTCCCACTCAAGTGAAGAAAAATATAAAAACGAGCAATCCATGTTGGTTGATCACCAGCCCCATAGAGAGTACACCAAGGAACTACAATGAGAAAGCCCCACTCAGGGCTTCAGAAGTGAGAAAAAGGGTTAAAAGAAGCAGAAGATGAAGGCTAATTACAGCCAAAAACTAATTGGTGGGGCTAAAAAACTCATGGCTGCGTTAGGGACAAAGGAGACCCTGCTCCATAAAGAAGTCGAGACTTTTCATGAGCATCCGAACATCCGGATGTGAAAGTACCACACGCAGCAGCCACCTGTGCTCCGATGAGAGTGGGAAGGTCTCGACTAGGCCCACCTGCACTTCCAGGTCCTGCCCACCCTCTTCAAGAGCCTTTCACGGAGGCCGCCTATGTGGGGGAAGGGTCCACGGAGGCTTCGGGTCAGGACTAATAACACGCCTCCTAGAACTTGGGAAAGTATCACTCCTCTGAGCCGAGCCTGTTTCTAAACTCGACGCGGGACCGTGGTCTCTACCTCACAAGGTAACCAGGAAGATTAAATGAGGTGAACCCCTTTCGTGCTGTAGCCCCAATACAGGCTAGTTCCCTGTCCCCACTGCCTCTGAAATTTCAGACAAAAGGTAAAACAGGTGAGTACCATAATTTTATCCTAAGAAAATCCAAAGGATGAAAATAAAGTCCCCAGGCAACAACAAATTAACACACAGCAAAACGGAGGCAAGCGGGTATGAACCGTTTTTTAAGCAACTTTATGTGAACCTGAGACTGAAAAGGAAAAAAAAATGCCCCTGACAAAGGAGGTTCCTGCCAGTTCCTCAGCTGACAGGGAGCTAATATTTGGAAGCGGACTGTGTGCGAACCGGGGGGACTGGATGTGCACTCCACTCCCACGGAAGAGACTGGCCTGCTAATTAAAGTCCCACGTCGTGTCCTATCGCCTCACCTCAGTTTCTCTCGCCTTTTCTTCCCTCGGAGCAGCAGAAAGTCCTTGGAGCCCTCCAGATGACACATTCTCATCAGGAGACGCCATCTGAGATTTCTCCTCTTTAAGGCACTGAATTAAAGCTTCTTTGCTCTTCAAAGACAGCTTCAGCTCCTCAATCAGTCTAAAAGAGAACAAAATTTAAATATTAATTCTAAGCTGTTCTCTTAGCTCAGTGGAGCAAGAGGAGGCAGGAAATGGGGCCAGACATCTTCAAAGTAGACAGGTCCAACGACTGAACATAAACGGAATCACATTTTGCAAGGTGGAGATTAAGGGACAGAATTCATGTGACATTAAATGTCCCCTCGCCTCCAGCCTGGCCCTGGTCATCCCAACTTCTGAGCTGCTAGACTCTGGTCTTACTGAGTCACACTCCTGCTCAGACTTTCAACAGCCCCACCACCACCATCAGAGGATTACTAATTTTTTTGGCCAAGAAATCTCTCCAAAAGAAATCTGGCACTGAAGCTAAACAAACATGACCGATAAAGCAGAACTATTCCAGTAAGCGTGGAAAAAAAAATGGAGAACGTCTCTCCGAGGCGACTCGGGGCAAACTTAAAAATACACTGACTTTCAAGATAAAGGTCAAACTCTGCAGCGAGGCATTAGAGGCCCTGGCTTTCCAGGCCTAGAAAACCAGGCTCTGCTGACAGCTTCAGCTTCGCCTCATAGGAGGCCACCACCCGCTCCATCGCCAGGCCACGCAAGAGCCACACTTCCAGCTCTCTCCCAAAGCCAGGCTGTTCTGTGCCTCTAGACCTTGGTTCACACTGTGCCCCGTACCCAGAACGCCCTTCACAACCCTACTCCTACCTCCGCCTGATACACACCCATCACCCTGCCAGAGGAGTTAGACATTATTCTCCTCACGGGAGCATCGCCAACCAACAATCCCCCCCGCCCCCAAGAGCCACACTTCCAGCTCTCTCCCAAAGCCAGGCTGTTCTGTGCCTCTAGACCTTGGTTCACACTGTGCCCCGTACCCAGAACGCCCTTCACAACCCTACTCCTACCTCCGCCTGATACACACCCATCACCCTGCCAGAGGAGTTAGACATTATTCTCCTCACGGGAGCATCGCCAACCAACAACCCTCCCGGTTCCCTCTCAGGTGGAGCTGAACACATCCTTCCCGAGGCCACCAAATTACCCCTATCAACTGTTCCCTGACAAGGGCCAAGTTATTTAGGCTTCCTGAGCCTGCATTTCCTCAGCTATAAAGTGGGGATAACCTGCTTATGTGGAATGGAGATAAGCTGTTTAAAATGGCCCCACACAGCTCCAGGCGTATGGCAGAACTCAACAAATGACAGCTGCTATAATTATTACTTTTTTTAACATTCAATAATTAGCATTTTGTCAAAGGACCCTAAGAAGAGCGTTTCTAGCTAAGCCTAAAAAGTGACTTACTACGATAGAAGGAGGGTGGACGGGCCTGGAAGTGTGAGATGCTTTCCCTGGCTCCCAGGGCGAAAGTGAGGCGCAGGCTGAAAGTGCCTGGCAATGCACTGGTGCTACCGTCTGTCCCTACGTCCCCTTGAAATCCATGTCAAAGTCCTGACGCCCAAAAGTGACGGCATCAGGAGGTGGGGTCTTTGGAAGAAGACGAGGTCACGAAGGTGGAGCTCCCATGAATGGGAGTAGTTAGTGCCTTATCCACGGAGCCCCAGAGCGACCCCCTGCCCCGCCTGCCAGGCTGGGATATGGAGAGAAAGAGCACCTCACCTGACCACGCTGGCACCTGACCGCACTGGCACCCTGATCTTGGACTTCCAGCGTCCAGAACTATAAACAAATTTCTCTTGTTTATAAGCAACCCAATCTGTGGTGTTTTGTCACAGCACCGCAAATGGACTAAGACAACTGGACATAGAGGATACCGGCAGCACCAGCACAATGCCCCCGAAACTCGGAAAGAGGAGTAAGACTGCCCTCTATGGGTTCGACTCTGAAGTCATCACATAATCAACTGGAGAGGTAGAGTCGCCAAACCGTACACTTAAAATGGATATGCTGCGTTCTATGTAACTTACACTTTGATAAAACTGATTTCTTAGTTACCTTAAAACAAGTTCTAGATAGGGCTGGAAATGAGTGGGGCAGGCCTGTGGGGCCTGTGGTCAGGCTGGAGCACCAGGCCCGTCCAAGGGAGCAGCCGCAGTCCAGCAAGACCGCGGCCCGGTCCCGCCACGCCTTCCAGGTTTTCACGAGAAGCGGAAATCCAGACACTTCTATGAAATTAGACTTTTGAAAAATATTAGCACTAGTTCAAACATTTAGAAACACTGTGTGGGCCAAATGAAACATATCTGTTGGCCACATGTGACCTGCAGGCTCCTCCATGTCAACTGCCTTAAAGATACAGACTAGCTTTCAGCTCAGGCTGGAGGAGATCCAGCAGCTGAAGCACGTGCCTTTGAGGAGGGTGGTGGGGGCCCCGAAGGACATCCTAGTGAGGGCCCTGCCCAAGGCGGGTTAATCTGTATGGCAGATCTGGACTCACATCCCCAGGGTAAGGCCACAGACCTTTATTCCAATTCTGTGCTTAGCAACTCACCTTCTGGTCTGGGCTTAGCTTCCCAAGAGTCCTGCCTTCAGGGAGGGCACACACTGATCCTTGTCCAGGGAGACTTCCGTCAGAGAGGGCCGTGCCCCCAGCGAGCAGAAATCCAGAGCTGGCACCTGGCTGCCGCACAGTTCTTTGGGAGTGTGGTGGGGCACAGCTACCCCCGAGACAGGTGCATTCACAGTACTGGTAAATCAGGTTTCTGTGCCTACCCAGCCAGACCTATGGGAAACCTCAGGAAGACACAGGCTTTGGCGAGGCCCTGACCTGACCACCCGCATCCACGGCAACCCCTACCTCCCGGATCAGTCAGTACTCAAGGAACATTAATCCTTCCCAGATTTCCTTTTCCAAAACGGTGAGACGCCAAGCTTCTGCAGCACATGCTGACAGGAACCATTTTCCTCCATGATTACCTTGAAATGTGCCGGGCTCCACACCTTGGCACGTGCTGTTCCCTCCGAGTGGCAGGGCTTCCTCACCCAACTCCCAGCACTCCACCTCTGAGAGGCCCTATAGGCCCAAACGCCCAAGCAGAGCTGATCACTCCCTTGCTCTTGTCACAGCACAGAACTCAGAACTCATCCCTAGCACCAATCAAGGCTTTTTTTTACATCTGCCCCTCCCACACTGGGAGCTCCATATATGGAAGACAGTACACATCTCTCACTCCTGGCACCCAACCCAAGGCCTTGCTCCATAGTTGGTTAGGGAATGAATCGTTATCTCCTTGAATTCAGGCCTTAATCCATATACCCAAGAACCTCCGGGGCTCTCTGGGCTGCCCACGATCCCTCAACCCAACATGTCTCAAATGAAAGCTCATCTTCCCACCCCCTCCACCCCAAAACATCTCTTTCTCCCCCTTTTGCCCCAAACTCAGCAAACTGCACTACCATTCCAGTTGCTCACACTCAACACCTGGGTGAGGGTGTCTGTCCACAGCCTTTTCCCTCGGCCCAAAATCCAATCAGCCGCCAAGCCCTTCAAGCCAACATGTCGAATCCACCTTCTAAATTCTCTTATCCTTCTCTGTCCCTAGTTCAATCACCTCAGTCCTGGTCATCTGGTCATCAGCATCAATTCTGGACTTCTGTATCAGCCTTAGAGTCAGGCTGTGCACTCAACTCTCCAGGGAACAGCCAGAGGGACCTCTCTCAATTTCATTCTGATCCTATTACCCACCCCCGACCCTTAACTCTTCTGTGGCTTCTCACATGCCCTGAGGGCAAGACACAGCCCCTCCAATAAGGCCCACAGGATCTGTCTCAGCTTCTCTCCCCTCTCTCTTCCCACCTCCCTTTCAGAAGAGGACCCTCTGCCATGCTGTGCTTCTTTCCGTTTCTTGACCATGCAGGGTGTCCATTCTGCCTCTGGACTTTCACGCAGAAGGTTCCTAAAGCCTGGAACACCCTTTCTTCTTCCTTATCCTAGTTCCTCCTCTAGGAAGCTTTTCCTAATCCCTCTAAACTGAATTAGATAAATATGTCAATCCAGAACTTATCCCATCTAGCCATTATCACTCTGTCCCCCTCCACTCCTTCCACCAAGTGGGAAGATGAGCTTAAAGGCTGCCTACAGGCCACGTGTTCCATCCATTTGTCTGGGCCAAATGGTACACATTTTATTCCTGGACCATCAAAGAGCTCTGTATTTGGTCTACACTGTTTTGGCCCCTTGTCCTGTACTGATCTGGGTCCTCAGCTTACATTCAAAGACAATGATGAAAAACTGGTCACACAGAATCCATTCGTATTTACTGTGGGAATGCAGTCACTTATTGTTCCCTTTGGAAAGATCCCGAAGAGAAATTTCTCTCTGACGATGTTAGGTAAAACTGGGCTTCTCCTGAGTTACTAGCTTGTTTTATTTTGTGAGCAATCCGAATCATGTCCGCCAAGATTGTTTTTCCCTTTTTACTTTGGCTACCAGGAAGCTTAAAGCTCAAACTGAATGTTAAATTTAGTATCTGAGGAGAAATTTCCAGCATGAATTTCGATTGACTCTCTCTGTCCTGAGACCAGTACCCCATTCCTTTCCCTTTCACCCTGGTTTCACCCCTAGCTTTCTCACCGCGGGAACAAGCAGAAAAGGGAGAAGGAAAACGGAAGGAAGGGAACAATTCTCCCCCCCGTGCTGCCAGACAAATGACGATCGGCGCATCACAGGGACAAACGCCAGACCTGTCTTTTTCTTCCAGGACCAGGGCCATGTCCACGTTCCCCTCGTGCATCTTCTTCATCTCTGAAAGCTGGTTTTCCAGGCTCAACCGCAGAGCCTTCTCCATTTTCGTCCCTGCAAAGGCCTTTTCCAGTTCTGCTTGGGCGGCTTTCACCTCCTAGAGTTAAATTAAATGCATTTGATGCAATTTTTCAATACAATTGGGAACATTTTGAAAGGGAATTGGATTAAAATATAAATATGTATGACTTTTTCTCCAGCACATTTCCCCTCCCTGAATTGTGCTATACATGGGGAGAATCGGTAATAAAAACATTTGCCAGCCATCTTTCCCTCTTGTATCCTGAAGAGTAATAGGCATTTCCAATGGAAAAGACTCGACTCTATGAGAACGGTTTTGGTTTTGAAAAATCAGATCAATATTTACAGCTCAATGAGAACAAGGAGAAATATGCCTCTCAATATCTAAACATACATAAATTTTAAAGTCACCATAATCTCCATATAAATTCATCCCACACCCCACCGCCCCCTCACTATTTTTTTTAAGATAATGACTACACAATTCTAAAGCGCATTTTCTATATCTCCAAAGTGATTTAGGTGGTGAAAAACTCTATGTTCTTCCTGAGGGCTCACAGAAGCCAACAGGAAACTAACTAAATCACACAGGCAGTGCCTGAGTTAGGGGAAAAGGCCCTGGTGCCCATGAAAGCGACGTGGGAGTAGACAGGACTCTCCAGCTACTCATGTCCACTGCCTCTGATTACTTCACAAAGATAAAAGTCAAAGTGAACTGGGTTCAAATCCCAGCTTTCCCGCTTACTTGCTGTGTGGCCTTGGGTAGTCGCTTAACCTCTCTGAGCCCCAGCTTCTCAATCTATAAAACAGGGCTAAACATCACTCTGTCAGAGTTGTTGTGAGATTGTCAAACGCCTGCTGTGTCACAGGAACCTGGAAAAACGCTGGCTTCCTCCTTGCCCTTTCTCTCCAGTGACGCCCCCACCACTGTCCCCAAGAGCCTTGCCTGTCAATCTCAGTGACGGCTGCGAAAAATCATTTCCCCAAATTCTGAGACAACAAACAACAAAACCTATCATTTACTGAGTTCCTACTCAATGCCGCGCTTTGCAGCGAGTTCTATTTATATTATCTTTGATCCTCACTCAACCCTGAAGAGTTACATACTGAGAATGCAAGCTCTGCAGCCAGACCGCCAGGCATTTACTGCCTGTGTCACCTTGAGCAAGTGACTTACTCTGTGCCAGTGTCACCATCGTTTTCCTTTTGTTTTTAAAGGATGATAAAAGTATTTACCTCCTACGTTCGTTGGAGGGATTAACTAGATCAATGCATGCAAAACGCAGAGAAGGGTATTTCACACATGGTAAGGCCTCGATGAACTGTTAGTTCCACTGCTGTTATTACGATTCCTACTGCAAGCAGGTCTCACTAGCTTCATTTTACAGATGAAGAGGCAAGAAGCTGAGGGAAAACAGATGCTTTACCCATGGTGACTAAGCTAGTGAGAGTGAGCAGGGATTCAACCCAACACTGTCAGTTAGGCTGGCACGCTGAAACACTGGGAAGCGCTCGCTGGGAAGAGTAAGATGAACAAACAAAAAGTCTCTTTAAAAGTCTCACGGTCATCTTCACTAAAATTCAGAAGTCGGGCTCAGAAGACCCTTCTTTTGGTTCGAGCTCCACCACTTATGACCACGCCCTCTAAGCGTCTCGCCCTCTCGGAGCTTCCTCATCTGTGTTGTGGCCCTAATATCTACACACCCCTACGAGGCCGATATAAGGGCCGATGTGCGCATCTTGACTATAAGATGCAAAACACAGCACAGGTGAATCCGCGTTTTTGTATCCGGCATTGCTTTTCGGTGCTATTTCTCCTCATATCTGCTAAGAAGAATCAGGGTTTCAGGTAAAGAAAGTGAGATGAAACAACAGATTTCGAAGACCAAAAATGAAGTAATTAGTATTACATAATACTAGCTTTAAATGGAGGGAAACTTTTTAACACCTAGGAGACAGATTTCTAACCAAGAAACATCCCGACTCCCATCAGTCACAGGAAGCAACTGAGAATCAGCAGAAGGAGAAGCTACACACAGTGCCACCCCTGGAAAAGGAATTGGATGAGCCTGGCGGGATGGTGGCGGGGTGGCTGACCAGGCCTGCATGGACACACGATGGCCTACAAACCAGGAAATCTGGTTCCAAGCTTAGCCACTGTTGGGGGAGTCACTTCCCCTCTCTGGGCCTCAGTTTCCTCTTCTGTAAAATACAGGGACTAAACTAGACAATAAGAGCGGTATTACAGCAAGAACGCAGGCTTCGAAATCAGCAGTCCTAAATTTCAATCCAGGATTAAACTGAGACGAGGCAGCATTTCCCTCTGTACCTCAGTGTCCTCACCAACAGGAACGAAGACAACACTGGCCAGTCTGCAGGGTGTAAGGATATGAATTCTATACGTGGGGTTGGAATCCCAGAGATGCTCAGTAAGATGACGCTTGTTCCTGACACTCTGACGGTTTAGGAAAGGGGGATCAAAATTCTGCCCACTCCGTTATAACCCACTGTGAGCAACACACTCTCCTCGGGGCTTCCGGACTTGCCTCTTGTAAAAGGAATATTCTTTGGGTCAGGAGATCTTCGACCTGCTGCACCTTCTTCTGAGCGTCCTCTTTCACCCGTCGAACTTCAGAGCCGCCCCCTTCAGCGAGGCTCTCCACTGCTTTGCTGCGAGAAGAGGCAAAAGTGTAAAATGCATCAGGGTGACAGCCAGCTGGTGAGTTCAGTCACCCCGAGAGACAAGGAACGTTTGTTAGTCACTTCTCCCACAGACCTGTACTGAGCTTCTTTTTTAGTGTAATATTTGTAATTCTAAAACACCGCTCATACAATATAGAAATGTATCACATCAATGCACTGTACACTTTAAATTTACACAATATTACATATCGATTATGTATCAATCAAAATATATATATATTATTAAAAAACAAAGAAAGAAAAGAAAAAAGAATCATCGATCACCTTATCATTCAGGACAGCTAAGTTAACATTTTAGTATATAGCCTTGCAGACATTTTCTACAAAAATAGAACCATACAGTACACATCTGTGATCTAATTTTATTGTTTAACACACTATAAACATCCTTTTGTACCAATAAATATAAAACTATATCATAATTTTTAAAGGCTACATTTTAATTTGCTACATGAAATATACTGTACTATATTAAATCAATTCTATTTTTAAAACATTTGGATTGTTTCTGATTTTACATATGTGTCTGGTAATACTTATAAAACTCTGAGAACAGTACAATGTCTTCAATAAATGTTAGTATTATTGTTTATTAACATAAGCAATGTTATAATGTATGTATATTATCCAGGAGTTTCCTTAGGAACAATTCCTAGAAAAGGAATTACTAAATCAAAGTGTAAATAATCTTTCAAGATTTTTTTTGACAACTATTATCAAATTTCCCACCAGGAAGTTTCCCACAAAGTACATCCCTCCCCCAATAGTAGAAAAGGTAGAGAGCTGGTCTGACAGACCAATGCACAAAGGAACAGTATGCAACGTAAATAAATCAGAGGGATGAAGGGCTTGTATGCCCTGTCTTCTGCCAACCGGAGGGGAAAATATTTTTTGTTTTGTTTTTATTATTTATGCCTACAGCATCCGGTCTTCCTAGGTGGTCTCCCATCCAAGTACTAACCAGGCTCGATGCTGCTTAGCTTCCGAGATCAGACATGGGGCTTGTTCAGGGTGACATGGCCGTAGACTGTGGACCGTGGCTCCACTGGGGCATGAACCCAGGACTTTCTGCGTGTAAAGCAGACGTGGTAACCGCTACACTATGGAGCCACGTCCGGGATAGCGTTTTAAATACAGGACCAGCTACCACTTGGGGCATGAGGAGAGAGCATGAGAGCAGCCCACACTCCACGCGACTGTAACATACAATGCAGAGTCCACATTGCTGGGCACCATGGAATATCCTCGCCGCCTGGCAAGCAGTGGTAGGGATGGCACACGAAAATCGGTCACAGGACCACAACCATGTACACTGACGCCTCTCATTTTGGTTCTCCCCAGAAGAAAAAGAGTCAGGTATGAATCTGTGAGACGTGTACTCAGAGAAATTCTCATCAGCTTTCTAAAATGTCTGCGGGTTTCCAGAAGGCAGAATAATATAAAGGAAATGGCTCCACCTAAAGCTGGTTTCTCAGAAAAACTGCAACGGAACAAATCCATTCAGCAGCCTCCCATGCCCTACTTTGGGGGTATGTAAGGTTTTTTCCGACCAAAAGCCATGTGATCAGACATGCACATGTACAGGCCATGTGAATTTTTGACGGAGAACAATGTAAAGTCAAGAGGGCCATACTTGCTGTCCAAGTCTCAACAAAGACTTGGAGCCGCCTGCAAATAAAGACTTTATTCAGATCTTGTTTCCCTCTTTCACCAATGAGCCTTCAAAAGGCCCCAGTGTCATGATATCATCTTAATGGAATTCAATGTGAACAACTGGAAAGAAAGGACAGATCTGAAGCTAAACAGATCTGCTTCCGAGTTTTTAGTCTATTATGTCCTTAGTGTGACTTGGGGCAAATCACTTCTTACATCTCAGTTTCCTTATTTGAATAATGAGATGATGACTTCTTAGAATGAATGTGCTAACCATGCGGTGGCCCAGCCTGGTGCCCCTTCCTCTCTGATCTAAGTGCTGCATGACTGCCTGCTGTCCCTGAGGCCACCGCAGCGCCGGCTCCTGCTGAGATTCTCTGAGAGGCACTAATTCTACCCTCTGCTGGCGTCTGAGCTGAGAATAGATGATCTGCTGGCCGGAACTAAGGCCACCATTGCCACTTCCTGATTAATGGCATGAAATGTCCCGAGCCCCCACTCCTTCATCTCATTTCTTGATCAGTACTGTCTGGAATTCACAGTGACTCACAGTCATTTTTCTGTCACTCCTCAAGAGGCATTAAATATGGCTGCAAGAATTCTGGACTAGAAGCTTTTCCCTCCTGAGCCTTACATAAAGGATTTTTCCAGTCCTGAATTTCCTCTAACCACCCTTGGTTTAGAGCCCTTGGACTTTATAGAAGCATCCTCTAGAAAATGGCTCGCTTATTACCCCATCCGCCCCCTCCATATCCCCACCCTCCATCCCCACCCTCCATCCTCACTCCCCACACCACCCAGGGAGTGCAAATACACCATCTCCCTCCTATCAGCCCAGATGGAACCTTTGTTTTTACAGTCAGCACCACATTCACTGTCAAGAGGCTGACTACAATTTTTAACAAGTAAGGGTATTATGCAGTTTGTTTGCATTTTAGTTATACCAATAAAATATACTTCCAATAATAAATGTTCCAACTTTTCATTTATCATCTTTGCATTTTACAGTTACTGTAGCAATAAAATTTATACTCAGCAGTATGGTGCAATTTTCCTCTGCTAATGGAATTATTATTTTTGTTTTTGTTTTAAAACTACAGGGAAAAAATTTTACTCTCGACGACATGTCTGCTTTTGTTTTTAATGTCCCCTTATAGTAACTGATAAATAGAACGGAAGCCAGCAAACATACATGTTTACTTCAGAGCGAGGCGGACCAGCCCCAGCGCTGGGAACAACGTGGGCAAGTTCCCCTCTCCTGGGCCTCAGTTTTCTCTTCACTCAAACGGGAACACTGGCTGCCTCACGTAACTGCTGTAAAATCAAGTGCAGTAAAGCACGTCAGGTGCCAGGCACAGGGTTTGGGGCAAAGAAGAAGCTTGATAAATGTTAGTTCTCTCCCTCTACCCTTTCTTTCCTTATCACATTTAGGCCAACAGATGGGACAGAGAGCAAGACCTATGAGAGGACAGGTTGAGCGAAGCTGGTCCAATCCAGCTTTCCAACCTGATACAGAAACGAACCTTCTATAAACACCACCCTCGCTACTCTTTTCAACCATGAACATTTCCTCTTGATTCTTTCCATTCTAATTATAGCTTTTCCCATATCTCCCATCCACGCCCCCCCCCAAAAAAAACAACCATAAAACTCAAAAAGAGAATGTACATAAAGATAATTTTCCATCAACAAATATGAACCACACACACGCCACTAGGTCCCGGGCAATGAGAGGTAAAGGGAAGGCACACTTAGTAGATGCGTGGAAACGGTGTGCACATCATGTCTACGGCAGGGAATTCACACGAACTCTATGAAGTAGGAACGGCTGAGGAACCAAGGCTCAGAGGCCACAACCCACCTATTGGTAGAGCCAATCCAGAGCCCCTGCCTTTTCCATGAGTCCTGTACTCTAACAAAGGGGGAGGAGAGGCTCTTGGCCTTAGAAGATGCATAGTCACGTGGGAGAAATGAGAAACACACATAAAAATAAAAAAAGAATATGAAACCTAGTGATGAAGCAGAAGTCTCAGGCCTGAGTTCTAATCCCGGCTCTGCTCTTTCTGGCTGGATGGTTTTAGTCGCAGCCCTGTCCTTCTCCAGGACAAAATTCCCTCCCTGCTAAAAGGATGTTTTCCTCGAGATTTGACTCTCAGGAAAATGATGGAATGCAAACAGATGTCAAAGTGTTTTATAAAGTCAGAAGTGCCACACACATTTGGGACTGTCATTATATGCCACAGAAGTCTGTGCAAAGACTGACGTAGGCCAAGGCAGTCCTGTGAGATCCAGCGTGAGCCTTTCTGTAGAGTGGACAAGAGGCAAGGTGTTTGGGCGGGAGGGGCTGGGAAGGGGAAGGGTTCTGCCGGGGCCGAGTCAAAGCAGCGGGAACAAGAACATCTTTAGGATCTGTGAACTGTGGGATAAAAAGCTGGAAGAGAGAAAGCTGGAGCAGCTGAATCATCGTGAACGTTCTTAAACAACTCATGACCTGAACCCCCAAACCCTGACATCTGCCTTCCCATCCATTACCACATCCTGTTAACTCTGCTTCCTAAATGTCCTTCCAATCCACCCATTCACCTCCATCCCTAATCTCTCACCTAAACTACTGGACTAGCCTAACTGGTCCTCCTGCTTCTATTTTGTGCTCCCTCTACCAAACATTTCCCACTCAGCATCCAGAGCGGCCTTTTCAAAAACAAAACTCTGGTTGTGTCTCAAAACCCATTAATGCTTTCTCTTCGATCTCAGAATAAAGACCGAAATTTCTAGTGAGGCCTCAAGACCCTGTAAGATGAGGCCGAGCCCCCTGGACTTCTCCCATTTCCACAGACCTTCACGTTCCCCTCCCCTTGAACACTTTCGCCACCCTGTCACGTAGTTGATTTCTTCTTACCCCTCAGATCTCACCTCGAATGCTACCTCCTCGGGGCCGCTTGCCCTGAGATCTCTATTTATAAATCTACTAAAAGAGATCTCTATTTATAAATCTACTCCTGCTCCCATAAACTCTCAAGGCTCCCTTTATTCTCCTCATAGCTCTTCTCCCAGTTTATATTGACACGTTTATTGTTATTTTTGTTTGTGCAAGTATCTCAACACCAGCAGCCACCAGAACGAAGCCCCACGTGTCTCTCTGGTTCGCCACTGCATCCCCAGGAACTCAGCCCAGTGCAGCGTGGAACAGCTGTTTAATATTTTCTGAAGAAAGTGATAAATCAGGTCAGACCCAAAAGGGCCCTAAACACTAGTTTGGGCAGTTTGGGGAATCTCTGCATACAAACATGTGCACAAGCCACACAAAACACCTAGCCCTGTGTGCTGGTACCGAGGAGTGCACAGAGCCTTCGTGAGTTTGGGTTTTCAGCGGTACGTCTGACTTAACACAAGGCCTAGCCAAGACCCGCAGCCGGCCGGGCACTGAGTATGAAACAGAGAGAATTCTAGTACTGACTTCCAGGCCTAGTAAAGTAAGCTTGACTCCCTGCCTAGAGAATGATAAACGATGTGCATCCAAAAAAACAAAAACTTGTTAATTTGCTTTATTCACTCATTCAGAAAATACCATGTGCGCAAGGTCAAGCCTGGGCCTGGAAACCTCCGATCTACCCAAAGCCAACAGCAATCTAACTTCCAGCTGCGGGCCCATGAGACGGCCCAGCGCAGAGCAGCGAGCTGCAGCCAGACTCCACTTCCCGTCCCACATCACAGGAGGTCCACTGCCATGACCCATGCATCGTTTCCCCAGAGCTTTCAGCCAGAGCCCTGGGGGTCAGGCCTGGGAAGTATCAGTTCAGTATGACCAAGCGAAACTCAGCACACTGTGGTGTCCCCACTGGACCCGCAAACACCCTCTATCACTGCACCCTCCATTACACAACTCACCAGTCTCTGATGGGCTCCTCAAGTGAGGGAATGTCTCTTTTCAAATCCTCAAAGTGTGATACCAGTAATTACACGATAAATGTTTATGAATGAATGAATAAATAACCAAGTGAGTCACAGGCTATATTCTCTGAAGTGTGCTTATTGTTCAATAAATATTTAAATTAACTGATTGATTAATTAAAATAATAGTTTTCAGATGTTCTTTAAGCAAAAAAGAAAAAAAAACGAGCAACTCTGGTTGAAGCCCCGCCCTCCGCCCGCCCCTCGCCCATTTTACGGCAATGAGACACTTACGATCTATGTGGTGCTCACAAATATATTGCTGAGGAAAGGCGCCAGACATACAGAAACAATATATGGATATCCATTGTTATAAAGTTCAAAAACAGGCAGAATTAAGCAATGGTGATGCTCCTGGCCAGCACGGCGGTCATCTTTGTGGGAGAAGGGAAAGATCTGGGAGCACAAAGGGGACTTCTTGGGATCTGGTAACGTTCTGGTTTCTGATCCGGATAATGGCCCCACGGGTGTGTGTGCTTAGTAAGAATTCATCCTGCTGTATAAATAAGACCCATTCATTTCCCTGTAAGTATGTTACATTTTAAAAGTTTGTTGAAAAATAGTTAAATAAAAATAAAACCTCTTTGGGGTCCTCAGAGCCCAGCTGGAGAACGACTGGCTTAAAAAGCACAAGGTTCAATTTTACTGCCCCACTTAGCCGCCATCAGAGCCCCTGGGCGACCTGCGAGTTTGTGACAAGATGACAGGTACTCACGAGGCTTTGATGAGCAGCCGCTCCCTCTCTTGGAGCTCCCGCTTCAGACTTTCTACTTCCACCTTGAGCTCGATGTTCTTCCAGACAAGATTAGGAAAGAAAAGAAACAGTGTAAAATACAGGGCATACGCATGTCTACCACGGGGAAAACGCTTTCAGCGTAGACTAACTACGTGATGCTTGTAATAGGCCGACATTAGATTCAAAACCTCACTAGCCTCGGGGCACAGGGAAAAGGGAATTATTAAACACTGGTGGTCTCAAAAGAAAGCCCCGGATTTCTCAAGACTTGGAACAATTATGTAAATTTTCCAAGCTTCTAACAGCCAGAGAGCATTCAAACATCGAGGCATAAATGTCATACAAGAGAGGCTGATTTAAAAATTGTTTGCCCTCCGCCAAGCAAATTTATAAGCAATTCTGTAGTTTGCTTTTACCGTTCCAAAGCAATTACTTCTGGTTGTTTACCATCATGCATGTGCTGGTTGTAGCAGTGGGAACATGTCACAGTTTAAAAAAATAAAACATGTGGATGGATAAGAGGGAGGCCTTGTCTCTGCCTGTTTCATTTCAATATAAGACTTCAGGGTACTCACACAAAAAAGAGCCACCGCAAGGGGCAAGCTGTCTATAAGGGACACCAATACGTTCTCCAATCGCCTTCTCTTAACTGGCTAGAACGAAGGGAGTCACATGTGGCTTTGCATGAGAACGTGAGAACCCAAAGACAGAGTCTCTGGCACACGGATGGCAATGAGAGAAAGTGAGGTAGTGGTGGGCTTCTCAAACCTGCCCACAGATGAATCCAACAGAATATCAGATGAATTTTTATAGCAGAAACAGGGGTCTGGGTGCACAGTTTGCAGAGAACTGCTATAAATCCAAGATTTCTTTGAAATCTTGCTCCTGTTTTACTTTAATAATTCATGCCAATTTTACATTCTACTCCATAATACATGCGTATCGTTTCAAATAAAAATGACATTTCCAATAAAACTGACAATCTTGGAGGACAGGCTTCCCTCCTTTTAGCCAGAAGGGAAAGGTCATGGGTTTGGAACCAGAAGGACATGGGTTCAAATTCTGCCTCCAGTCTTTACCAGGAGGAAACCATAAGTCAGTGGATGCTCATTTATTCATCCCTTCACCGTGCAGTCGCCTGTGTCAGGCCAAAGCGCTGGGTACACTGGTCCACGAGGCAGACACAGGCCCTGCCTTCACGCCAACACCAGACAGAAAACTGGATATGTGAGCCTATAAGTCAGTGGATGCTCATTTATTCATCCCTTCACCGCGCAGTCGCCTGTGTCAGGCCAAGCACTGGGTACACTGGTCCACGAGGCAGACACAGGCTCTGCCTTCACGCCAACACCAGACAGAAAACTGGATGTGTGAGCCTACAACTGCTCTCAGAAGCACAAGTCCAGGAGGTGAGTATGCAAGGTTTTACTTTTCACATCCCCCAAGTGGCAAATGAAAAACAAAAAGCCCACCTGACATGGGAGATTTCAGGACTAAATGAGCTAACAAGTGAGAAGAGCCTAGAGACAGGGCTCAGAATGTGTTCTTTTCCTCAACGTAAAGCAACAGGAACTAAGGAAGTCATCTATGCAGCAGGACTTTTTATAGAAGAAACTGATCTTTGCATAAAGGACACTGAGTTACAGTGCACAATGTCTTCAACTGCAGTTTGTGAAAATTATAGAAACACCCTTCAAATAGAGAATTCCTTTCCAGCTCTCAGAAGGGCAGAGCTATATGTAAGAGCTGATATCATAGATTCTCTGCTTTCTGATGAACCACCTGGCACTCTAGCCTAGCAAATTTAAAAGAACGGATAGCTACCTTGTCCACTAGACTATTTTTTGCAAGTCTAACCCCTCAAGTTACGTGGTGACTGTAATTTACAAACCAAAAATCAAAGATACCTTATGAGCTTAAAATGGAATAGCATTATAAACAGAATAAAAAAGCTCTTAAACCACTGTTAAGATATCCAAGATACTGTTAAGAAAAAACGCAAGGAACAGAACAGAACATGCTTGCATTTAGGTAAAAAGGGGGTTTATACACATGTACATATACTCACACATGCTTGCTCGTATATACATAAAATTTCTCTCCCTGATAATATTGGTTAGACCCAGGGGACTGGAAAACAAGGGTCGAAGAAATTCTTCTCGGTGTATACCTTTCATAGTTTTCGAATTTTGAACCAGGTACACCTACCTCTAAAATTAAACTGAAATGAAAATACAATAAAATCAGGTCATCTATATGGACAACGAAAAAGAATAGCATGGCCATGAGGCAGGCAGCCTTGGGTTCAAAGTCCACCTCACAGAGTAGCTACAACATCAAGCAAGTTACGAATCCTCCCTGAGCTTCCGTTTCCTAGCCTGTAAATTGAGGATAATCTCCACTGCAAAAAAAGGTTGTCCTGAGAATGAAAATAAGCTGAAAAAGTACTAATGGCCAGGACAGTGCCTGACACAGAGCAGGCAACTAACACGTATTGGCTTCCTATCACCCTAGAAGTTCTGAGATAGATGATAATCATACTTACGTATAAAATGTTTTAGGCTATTGATTTTCCTTTAAAAATCTGACTGCATTGCCACTTCCTCCCAAAAAAAAGGGGACATCCTCATCGTCTTTCCACCCCCACAATGAAAAAAAAATTGTGTCTTGAGGGACAAAGGAACTTTTCAATTCTTGAAAAGGCTCAGAAGTACAGTACAATCCCTCTCCAAGACAAGTCCATTTAAGTTCATGTGCTGAAACTCAAGCAGAGCTCTTTTTCCTCCTTCAAAAGTTTCCACTGGTGCAAACTTCAGAAGAGAAAAAATGAAATAATTCCCAAGCCAAGGGCTAATCTATTAGAGAAAGCCAAGAAATGGGCACTGAAATATTGTTTGTATTCATGTCTTTTCAAGAAAGCCAAGTTCTTTTTTCAACTTTCAGAACGAAGGTTTGTTTTTAGGCAGAGACCTCCAGGTCAAGACTTCAGACAGGAACAGACATTTTCTTCTGTCAGTTATAAGCGAGCACACAAGGCATACAGAAGAGTCATATCACAGGAAAACTGACAACCCCAACTTTGGGCCGCCAGCAGAAGCCTCAATAAGACCATGATGATAACTGTCCAGCACTGACTGTGTGCTGGGGCTTTCCACCTGTCATCTCATTTTAATCCTCACAAATAACCCTATAACAAAGGGATTATCACTTAACTCTGGAAGCGAGCCCAGAGAGCCGAAGTGGCTTGACTACAGCTGCACAAGTCAGCTGGTAGAAATAAGATTCGATTCTAAAAACGATCCACCATTTCACTTTGTCTAAATTATCGATAATTAGAAAGAGGCAACTGAGATACAGTAAATCAGAGTTCTGATTTTAAGAAGAAAGAAGAACTCTCTTAAAATTAATCTTGTATCTCTTTGCTTAATATTAAGGGCATCCTATTATCTTTATGCTCCCCATAATAAATTCAAATTAAATGAAAGAAGCTCTATCTAGTCAAGCTAACTCTGAGAACAAATATTAATCAAATTTCTGCTTAGAATGACTATTGAGAAAAGACACCAGGGGTGGCAGCAAGAAGTGGGGTACTCACAGTTTTATAGATGTGTTCGGTGGGGCCATCAAATTCCTGTTGCATTCTTTCCTCAAGGAAATAGATGCGAAGTTTTAGGTTAAAGTTTTCTTTCTTCAGTTCAGTGATTTGCTGGAAAATAAGCACAGATGGGTTATCAAAAGTAAGCTCTAAGGGCTGTTACCTGCATTAATACTCATAGCTTCCAAAGCTACAAATGGATTGAAATATTAAATACTAGAAAAGCTTACCATTGCTGCAATTGTACCAACCTAGAATTAAGTGATTCCCTCCAACCAAACTTATGACAATCTGAGCAATGGAATGAACAATGACTAAATGAAGAAACAATTTATGATTCTGCACTTATAATAAGTAATTAAGGGAGGGAGGGAGAGAGGGAGGGAGGGAGGGACAGTGAGGCTGAGGGACGGGAAGGGAACTTGAGCTGGTTGAGAAGGCAGCCTGTGGACCAGCCGGCTCTGTGGAAGGCGGGGAGCCGCGTCTGTGTGCACTCCTGACGGGCGACCCCCGGTGTTACAGAGAGGAGAGAAGACTCATTTTGCCAAACTTAGATCCCACTTACAGCTGATGGGTGCTAACGTTGGAAGGAAGGAAGGAAAGAAGGAAGGAACGAAGAAGAATCTCTTCATTACAAAATGAATCCAGTTAATAAGTGTAGAAGAATAGACGGTACAGAAAATCACCATTACACAACCACTATAGTAGTAATTGATTCAGGTAAGAATGATCAATGCTAAAAGCACTAGATGAAAGATTACTGGAGAACATGATATTCACGCAGTCTCGAGATATCACCCCATAGATGAATTGTTACTTACAACAAGAAATGGTACCTTTACAATTTAGAAACCCAGCAGACACCACTTTAATCAAGAGTATATACAGTCGTCCCTTGGTATCCACGGGGGATTAGCTCCAGGAACCTCGGCAGATCCCCAAATCCATAGATGCTCAAGTCCCTTATATAAAACAGTGTAATTTGCAAATGATCTATATTTTTTTTCAACTATTTTCAATCCATGGTTGGTTGAAGCTACACATGCAAAACCTGCAGATATGGAGGGCCGACCCTGGTGGGACAAAATAATGTCTCGTGCCTCCTGAAACAAATCACTGCAAGTAAACAATTACTTAAAATGCTTATGCCTACAACCTTTAACCTGCATCTAATCAGAAGTTGTCAATCAGACACATCCAAATTGAAGAACATTCTGCAAAACAACACGCCTGGTTAAAAATCTTAATGACAATCTTTAATCAAAAATGATTGAGGAGCTCTTTTAAATAAACGGAAGCACTGGAGGCGTGGCTGCTAAGTGCAATGAAATCACACAGTGAATCTTGAGTTTTTTAAAAAAGCTTTATGGGATAACTAGGGGAACGTGAATAACAACTCTATATTTATATAATAGCACCATGATTTTGCAGGAAAGTCCCAAGTTAAGATATACGTGTCGAAGTACTTAAGAACGCTGTCATGATGTCTGTAACTCTCTAATGAGTGGAGAGGAAGGATTCCACAAAAAAACTACGAGAATTAATAAATGAATTCGGTTAAGTTGTAGGCCACAAAATCGATATTTAGAAATCTGTTGCATTTCTACACACAAATAATGAACTATCAGAAAGAGAAATTAAGAAAACAACCACATTTTCAATTGCATAGAAAATAATAAAATACCTAGGAATAAATTTAACCAAGGAGGCAAAAGACCTGTACTCTGAAAACTATAAGACACTGATGAAAGAAAATGAACAAAACACAAATAAATGGAAAGATATACAATGCTCATGGACTGGTAGAATTAATACCGTTAAAATGTCCATACTACCCAAAGCCCTCCACAGATCCAAGGCAGTCCCTATCAAAATACCAATGGCACTTTTCACAGAACTAAAACAAATAATCCACAAAAGACCCTGAAGAGCCAAATCACTCTTGAGAAAGAACAAAGTTGGAGGCATTATGCTCCCTGTTTTCAAAATATACTACAAACCTATAGTAATCAAAACAGTGTGGTACTGGCACAAAACCAGACACAGAGAAACGGAACAGAGAGTCCAGAAATAAACTCACATTTACATGATCAATTAATCTACAACGAGAAAAGCAAGGTAAAATTATATAACTTTTAAATAAATACACAGGGGGAAATCTTTGGGGCCTAGGGCTTGGCAGAGTTCTTAGATATAACACTGAAAGCATGATACAAAAAAATTTTTTGCATCAATAAACTGGACTTCATCAAAATTTAAAACTTTTGCTCTCAAAAACACAGTGTTAAGAGAATGAAAAGACAAGCTACACACTAGGAGAAATATTTGCAAATCACATATCCAACACAGGAACTACAGAGCTAGAAAATATAAGTAACTTTCAAAATATAACTGTAAGAAAACAATCCAATTTTTTAAAAAAAACATGCAGAAGATTTGAAAAGAAATTTCACAGAACATAATATAGATAACAAATAAGCACAAGGAAAGAGTTCAACATCTTTAACCTTTAGGAAAAAGCAAATTAAAACTACAATGAAATACCACTATGCACTTATTAGAACGGCTAAAACACAAAACTTTACTTTAGCCTACAGTATCAAATGGTGATGAAGATGGGGAGCAAATGGAATTCTCAAAGGCTGTTGATGAGAATGCAAAATGGCACAATCACTCTGGATAACAGTTTGGCAGTTTTTTATTGCCAAGAAAACTACACTTACCAATGACTTAGCAAGTCCACTCCCTAGGTTTTTACCCTAGAGAAATGAAAACCTATGTTCACACAAAAACCGGTGCATGGATGTTTACTGCAGCTTCATTAATAATCACCAAAATCTAGAAAGAAGTCAAATGTCCTTCAAAGGGCTAATAAACAAACTGTTACATCAGTATGATGGAATAACACTCAGCTACTACCATGCATACGACAAGGATGGGTTTCAAAGACAGAACAGTGAGGAAAAGCAGCCTCAAAAGATTCCATGCTGCGTGACTCCATGATGTGCCATCTGGAAAAAGCAGAATGATAGGGACGGAGAACAGAGCCTAGTTGCTAGAGGTTGGAGGTGGAGAGGGTCTGACCACAGAGACAATACATGGGAACGTTTTGGCGTTATTGAACTGTTCTGTATGTATTCTGAGTGTCATGATGGTCACGTGACCCTAGAACAGTATACACACACATCTATCTATCCTGATTATGACAGAGGTTACAAGAGAATATACATTTGCCAAAACTCATTCAACACTTAAAACTGGTAAATTTTATTTTATGTAAATTATATCTCAATAGTTGATTTAAAAATAAATAAAATTAAATGTAGCACAGTATTAATAGCTATACTTGAATGCTAATACATATCCACATATATAAACTCACCGGTTTTTTATCCAGCATTTTTAAACTAATTGGTAATAGCATATAATACTTTTTAATAAACATACTTTTATGACTAGATAAAAGAAAATGATAAGCATACTCTACATTAAGTATATTTTCAAACTGTCTGCCCTTGGCCATCTTGTTAACAATTTTATGGCTAACAACAGCACAAGAAACAATAGTTAGGTTCATTAAAGCCTCCTTTTGAATGTTTTAAGGAAACAGCACATAAAACATTCATTCAAACAAAAAAGTCTACCCTGCCAGCTGCTTCCTATAAAGAGAAACCTTATTCTGTTACTCGACTACCAATAAAATATTTATGGAGCTTGCTTAGAATGCCCACATTGTACACACTGCTAAAATTCTTAGCAGCACTTGAAAGAATATTTGTCTATTTATAGGTAAAGATATTTTTTTAAAAAATAAGAGAAAGGTAAATAAGGCTTCAGAAAGTCACTGCTGAAGCCAGACGGCCCAAATGAATAAAATGAAAAACGAGCACGATCTTTTCCATGACAATACCAGTCTAGTTCTATGTTTAATATCTTTCCCTTCATTAAGTTTTTTCTGACAGCCCCCACCAGGCTGGAATGGGGACCCTTATAAATGTTTCCACACAGCCTCTACCTTCTTCATCATAGCAGTTATCTACCCAAACTATCTCTGAGATCAAGAACCATATCTTCTTGTGCATTCTAGTCTGAAACATAACAGACATTTACTAAATACCCAATAGCCAGATGGGTGGACAAACACGTGTAAGAATTTCTTGAAGGTAGTGTGATCCAAGGAGCCACCAGCATCAGACAGATCTGACTCACATCACTCCACTGCTTCGTTCTCTCTCCATCACTCAGAATAGAACTCCCTGATCCGGCCGCAAAGCACTACATGATCTGGCTCCCGCCCGTCTCTCCAGTTCATCATGTACCACCCTCTCCCTTGCTCACAATGTTCCAGCCTCGCTGGCCTCACTTCTGGTCCTCAGGTCAGCCAAGCCCCTGTCTGCCCACACAGCCCTTCTTACAGCACTTGCTAGGGTGGCTCAGTCTCATCCGTCCCATCTCAGCTGAAATGTCACTGACGCGGAAAGGCCCTTCCTAACTGTCCAGTCTAAAGTGGTCCCCATCTCTACCACCTCCACCAAGTCACGCTCTAACACATCACCCTGTTTCCTTGCTAGAACTTTTCATAATCCGTAATCACCTTACTTACACATTTATTACTCGTTAGCATGCTTATTATATGAACATAATCCACTTCTTGAGGACAGGAACCTTATCTGTTGATGGCTATTTCCCCTGAGGTTTTAGCACAGTACCTAGAACACAGCAGACACTCAATCGACATTTGTTAAATGAATGAATAAACTAATGAATGAATACAATCCAGACCACCTTACTAGCTGTATGACTTTAGTTGAGTTCATTTTTCCATATGCCTCGGTTCCTTTATCTATAAAAATGGGATTATCATAATGCCTATTTCATAGAGCTATTATAAGGATTAGAAGAAATTAATTAGAACATTTAGTACTGTGCCTAGTACAGCATAAGAACTGAAAACATATTATTACTATTCTTCTCATTTGTACTTTTTCCTCTAGGAGAAATAAGTTCAAGAAATTTAAAA